CGCGGATTCAATGATGAATCGTATATGTATGTGATGATTTGAATATGATTTTTCGGTATAAATGATTTCCTAATAAAAAAAGATTTTATATTACTGGTTTACTAATATAAATGGATTTATATTAATGGTTGATATTAAGGCCTTATTTGAAATGATTTGTTAGTAATATATTTTTAAAATTGATCATATTAAAATCTTCATAACTGAAAATTCAAAATGTAAAATATGGAAAGTTTTTATTGGAATTAAATACATTCCATTTCAACGAATGTAAGTTATTGATTGATGATTGAAAATCATTTATTGGAATTAAATACATTCCATATGGGGAAGATGATGTCAGCAATTTGATCTAAGGGTGGAAAAAATAAGATTGAAATACAATCAATGGTCCAGATTATTTAAGATGATGTCATAAAGTTTCTGTTTTAGTAATATTTAAGATATATTCTATAAATTTTTTTAAAGAATCTTATTGTTGCATCATGATAGACTTTTAGTTAACTATTTATACGTTGAATGTGCAGCTGTTACACAAACAACAATACAAAATATTTGACAAATCACTCATGGACTAGTGCAACCATATCCTTCTCCAATCTCCTCAATTGGTTCATAAGTTTTATGAACATTCAAACATCTTAATCAGGCTTTATAAGAATGATTTGAAGAAGGAATTACAAATTGATCACACGTTTAAGAATGTTGTTATTTTTTAAAGAGTTATTTTTATAATTTTATCAGAATGTTATTATTCTTGAAGATTTTTTTTGTATCATGTTTATACAATGTAGTTATTTGATATAATATTAGTTGAAGAATGGTTTTTTTTTTTTTGCATTAAATTCTTTCAAGAATTGCAATTTAATGAAAAAAATTAAAAAGTTGATATATTATTAGTTTAAAGAATGTTTATATGTATTACATTATGTCAAATATAAATTCTTTTAAAAAAGAAAATTTTGAAATCATATAATAAGTATATTCTTTTAAGAATGTACATTATACTCACTAATATATTCTTTTAGAATGTTAATATTAAATGAAACATTGTCTTTGGCCTAGCGGTAGGGAGTGATTCTCTCAAATGAAAGGTCATGGGTTCAAGTCTCAGTAGGAGACATATGTGGTGTTTAAGATTTAATTAGGAGTAAGACAGTTTGCCATTAAAAAAAAATGAAACATTATCCCATAAAATCAGATTTTTAAAATTAAGAAAATCAAGGATCCTTTAAAATATGAAATTTTATTTTTTAAATCTGGATTAATTGATTAAAATACAATTGCAATGCGATTTATGTGATTACTCTATTTTCTTTAATTTATCAATATAAGTAAATCACTTAAAATAAATAAAATCTTGGTTCACATTCATACCTACTGTTTTAGTCACGTAATGTTATTCTCGCATAACATGTAGGGATGGCAAAAAAACCCGAACCCGATCATTTCAGGTCGGGTAACGGGTCGTTATCGGGTTTTTTATCGGGTTCGGGGTAGGGAGTGGGTTATCCTCGCCCCGACCCGCCCCGATATATATATATATATATATATATATATATATATATATATATATATATATATATATAATATGTTCTAAAAAATTTGCTGTTAATTGTACACGTTCAAATATAAAATACTTATCGTGGACAATTTTTTTAGTTATTAACAATCTGGTGTTAATGATCATTTTTATGTGTTTTGACGTATTAAACAAAACTTAAATCAAATAATTTTTTATATAACATCCACTTTATTTTATTAAAGTAATGCATCATGTTTTTAATTTAATAGAGTTGCTAGAACATGTATATTTTATAAGACATTGGGGTACCCTAAAAGAGAATAAAGATTTCGTTATCAGTTGTTGTAAACCCGATAAGATACCCGAAACCCGACGGGGAAACCCGAAACCCAATGGGGCGCCCCGATAAGATACCCAAAAGTTATCGGGGCGGGTTTGGGAATCCATGCCCCGCCCCAAACCCGCCCCATTGCCATTCCTAATAACATGCAATATGCTTCTATTTTACCGAGCCAAATAATCTTATCAATGCACAACATACTTACATACTTCTACTTTGTTGCTATTCTAGGAAAGTCAAATGGTCCATTGTCGGCTTTAGAGATTGATACAATGTATGCGGATTGAGCAAGGTTGGAAAATTTTAGAAAGATTGTGGGAGCAACAAGGTACAAAGAATACGTTAGAAGCAAGGTAATGAATGACCCAACAAAAACGACGGGGTATCCCATAAAAGTGTGACTTAAATGCCATATGTATAAATTTAGGAGTTATTAAGGTCGAATGTAGGAATTATTAAGGTCGCATGTCATGCTCACCCATTTCCTTTATCTTGACCACAACTCCTTCATATTCATGATTTCCCCACCAATAAGGTAATTTCATTTTGCTATTACTCTAATTTAGCTTTATTTTAATCATGAAAATTCGATAAAAATGTCTAGCCATGTCAATATGTAATTTTTTTAATCCAATTTTAATATTAGTAAAAAAAGGAACAAAAGGTGGTACTACTAGCATATCCAAGATTTATCACTTGGATTGTGTCCTTTTATGATAAAGATGGTGTAGGTTTTCTAGGGTGAGTTTAAACAACCTTACAATAGACAAACATTATATAACTTATCAAGGTTTTTACCTAAAGATTTAAACAATCTATAGAAATTAGTACAAATATATATCAAAATCATTTAGCAACTATATTTATTTTGTATGCCGACTTACTTTGTCTTATTGGTTTAATCTTTGCTATTCATTAAACGATATAAAAGTAATTAAGATTATGATGGTTTAACGAAGTAGTTTGCTTCACACCAAACTTTTAATTTGACGTGCAAACTGAATTTATATTTGCTTTATGACCCTTTTCAATGTAAATATAATTAGACACTATAATATTGAAGTAATTAAAAAGGGAATTATATGATAATAATGAGTAACTGATGATTAAATAAAGCAAAGGTCCCATGGCTACAAAGGAATCTCAAAAAGCTTTCTAAAGTTTCAACTCTCTCACCACTTTTCCCATGCTTGTAGACATAGGCCCTATTAAACCTTCTATATTTTATGTATGACACATATAATATCTTATTATTAAATGTCTTATCTTTTTCCATAAATATATAAGGAATAATATTCGTATAGGGTTGGGTTGGAGGCAAGAAAGAGTTGAAACTAGGCTATGGATTTCCATTTGGACGTTTATTTAGGTGCTAAAAGAGTACACATCTTCCTAATATAGGTAAGTATATTTTCATTATTAAATAATAAAAAAAATACTATATTACTTTGTATTTGTATTTTGTACTCTATTAGTTAAGGTATTTCCTTTAAAGTTAATTATTGTATTATTAGTAGCATATGAGCAAGCGATTAAGATTCATAAAGATGTTTTGTTAATTATATATCATGTCATTCGATTTTAAACGTGTTGTTTTTGGTCTTGATGTTTGAGTCAATATATCTTATTATTATTATTATTGTTTAAGTTATATATATATATATATATTGGATGTGTGCTCATGTAAAACACGATTATAAATAGTTATTTTGATGAATAGTCTTTACGGAAAAATAGTTTTTAGATTTTATTATTAGTTATTATGTAATAAAAAATCTATCAAATTTAAATAAAATATATTTGTTTATACCTTATATTTATGTTGCATCTTTATACTATTGATGTAAATTAATTAATATTTGTGTATAGTTTAACAAATATAAATTAATTTATATATATTAAATTAATATTTTAAAATTTTCATTTTGTTCCAAATATAAATTTTTAATATATTTTTTAATTCAAATCTTCAAACTTTTCGTAAGTATTAAAAAATTATTTATGTATAATAAATTTATAAAGAATACAATATTCTACATGATCCACGATATTAAATGATATGAACCTGATAGAAAGATAAACAACTTTAAATAGATTGTTTTGACATCTCAACCCATTTATACATGTTATTGTTGATATTTCTATGTTATTATTTCTAACTAATTTATAATGTTAGCCATTGGCTTAAAAAAATATTTTACATAACAACCTCATGGAATAAATGTATAAAAAGTATAATTCTTTCTTTAAACATATCACATGGACCTAAAAGCTAGAAAGCAATACGTCTTTATTCTTTATACCATACACCCATTCTTTTTAATTTTCATATATACACATTGACAGATTAAAAGTATTTAACATCGTGTTCTTTACAATAACTGAGGTAAAAGAAAAGACCGGGAATACATAAAATTTTTAAGAATTTTTGAAGCCAGTTTCTGCCACAATGTCACTAAACCGACGGATTTACATTAAATTCATAATTATCAAATTTTGCGATGGATTGCTAAGGGATTTTTGACAGAATTATGGATTTGTAATGGATTTCTATAAGATTTGTAACACTCTCACTAAATTTATATTTGACAGAAAAATTTAAGAATTTGAGAGATTACATATGTTATATACTAAATCTTCCCTCGGTCTTTACCAATTATTTTCATTAACCATTACAAAATAAATAAAAACATTTTTTGGCGTCAAAAGAATGTAAAAAAAAAAAAAAAAAGCAACCAAAAACAAGAAAAAATGAAAAATATTATTTGTTTAACGTAACGTTTCTCCAAAGATTCACAAAACCCCAAACTCACCTCCAAAGATGCACCAAAGCTTCTCTCTCTCTCTAAAAGGAAATAAAGAAATACTTTTTCTCTCTCTTAAATCTTCAGCTTAAACAGTGTACGGTTGCTACTATTTTGTGGGTTTCTGATCAATTTACTGAAAAATTCTGAAAAATGTGGGAATTCCGACTAACCATTAACGGGGTTTGAATTACAATGGTGTTTCTCGATCTTTCTGTTTCAGGGGTTTTCTTGTTTTGGAGAAAAACAGGTTTTTCTTGATCTTTTCATGGCGTAAATCGACAATGTGAGGTGAGTTACTGAAATTCCTTCTGGGTTTGATTTTTCATCGATGATGGTGGCTGCCGTTTCTGAAACAACAACCAGAAATCAAACAAGACCTCCATTGTTGCCTTCGGAAAAAGATAATGGTATCAGTATCACTACCCCTAATAAGTCAATTAGACATAAACCACGACAAGTTTCTTCAAGATACCTTTCTCCTTCTCCTTCAACTTCTTCAAATCCAAATTCAATTTCAATTTCAAATTCAAATTCATCATCTCTACCCACATTACGAAGGTCGCCTTCCCCTTTAATTTCAAGAAATTCAACTACTCCGGCACCAAAACGGTCGGTTTCCGCTGACCGGAGACGACCCATCAGGGCGGATCTTACGCTGAAACCCAACAATGCCGGTGGTGGCGCCGGAGATGCGTTGTCGGCGGCTACTAAACTTCTGGTTACATCTACGAGAAGTTTATCTGTGTCGTTTCAAGGCGAAGCGTTTTCTCTACCGATTAGTAAAACCAAAGTAACTCCACAATCCCCAAATTCAAATACAGTAAGAAAGGGTACCCCTGAAAGAAAGAGAACTCCGACTCCCACCCCTATGAGAACGACGGTTGACGGCGGCGGAGGAGATCATCTCGAAAACACTAAACCGATAGATCACCACCGGTGGCCTGGCAGAATCCGGCAAGCAAACGTCACCGTTTTATCGAAAAGTTTGAGCTTGGATTGTGGGGTTGAAAAGAGCACGATAAACTCTTCCGGGAATGTAATTAGACCTTCTTCACACCAATCGAATCTTGATTTTGAACATTCAATCGATCTTTTAAACCATTTTCAACAAAACCCAGATGGGAATTCATTCAAAGATTCCGATACAGATAGCGTATCATCTGGTAGCACTTCAGGAATTCAAGAAAATCGTTCAAGAATCGGGCCTAGAGGGATTATCGTATCACCAAAATTTTGGCAAGAAACTAATAGTAGAATAAGGAGATTACAAGATCCAAGTTCACCACTTTCAACAAGCCCAAAATCAAAACTCATAACCCCACAAAAACTTTCAATCTCTAAAAAATTCTTGCCTGAAATCAGTCCATTATCATCACCAAGAACAATCGCTTCCCCAAATAGAATGCGCCCATCATCACCAAGTAAGTTTTTAGCATCACCAAGAACACCTGGTTCAAAAATTAGTAGTAATTTTAGTGAGACACCATCGGTGCTTAGTTTTGCTGTTGATGTTCGAAGAGGGAAAGTAGGTGAAAATCGGTTTTTTGATGCACATTTGTTGAGAATTTTATATAATCGGCAATTGCAATGGCGATTTGTGAATGCTAGAAATGAAGATATAGTGTTGAAGCAGAAACATAGTGTCGAGGTATGATATAAAATTATAAATTTTAGTTTTTTGATTTTGTGTTTTTATTTTGATGTATCATTTTTTTTCGTTTAGGAAAATTTATGGAATGCGTGGATTACAATATCGGATTTACGTGACTCCGTGACTAAAAAAAGACATAGGTTGCAATTATTGAGACAAAAATTGAAGTTAGCATCTATTCTTAAGGCACAAGTAAGTTTATTTAATAAAAATCTTGAAATATTATAGCGACAAATTTAGTGACATTGTCCCAATTCAATTGTAGCGTTGAACGTAAACTTATGTTCTTTTCAAGAAACTAATTACTATTTTCTTGAATAAATATTAGATTATTTTTCTTGAAGATTGGGGATATTTAGATAAAGATCATTCAATATCATTACTTGGAGCCATTGAAGCTTTGAAAGCAAGCACACTTCGTCTTCCCGTTGGTGAAGGAGCAAGTGTATGTGTTCTTCTTCCATTTTCAACATCATTTTACATGTTTTTTCAAGAATTCAAAAACATTTTTTTTTCTTTAATAATAATCTTGATTTTGTTAGGCTGACCTCCAAAGCATGAAAGATGCCATAAATTCGGCACTCGATCTCATTCAAGCAATGGGTTCATCAACAAGATCACTTTGTTTGCAGGTATTTGGTTTTTTTAAGACAGAACAAAACAGGTTGTACTGCGTTTGACTTATTGGACTGAGACTGAGACTGATATCAGTGTGACATGAATTACAATTTTCAGGTCGAAGAAGTGAATGTTATGGCGGCTGAGCTTGCAAAAGTGACTGCAAAAGAGAGAGCTTTGCTTAGGATTTGCAAAGATTTCTTGTCAATTTTATCGACTCTCAAGGTAAATTATTATTATTATTATATAAAATATATGAAAAGAAAGGTTTATTGACGGATTTTTCTTGCTAATTACGATTATACCCTTGGCAGGTGAAGGATTGTAGTTTGAGAACACATATGTTGCAAACATGTCGTGCTTAAAGTGAAGTTACTTTGACAATCATTACCCCTAACATTACTTAAAAACTATTAAGTAGATGATTTTCCACTTTCCCCTTTCCCCTTTGTGGTTTATTTTAATTTTAATTTTAATTTTTTTTTTAAATCTTTTGGTGGCGGAGGGGAAGAAACAAAGGCGTTGTTTGTGTCGTGTTTGTATCTTCCTAATCGATGTAAATGTATATATGAACATATGTAATTTTACCAATTCTTTTTAGGTTCATTTGTGATGTTATGAGCTCTTCGGCTTTGTTTTGTTTGTGATGTAAATAAATTGAATGATGCAAGTGCTATACACAATGGATAAAATTGCATATGTGAACCATGAATGATATAGTAAGGTTTGACCTTATTAAGGAAATCTGTTAATTTCATTTGTATTTTATTATTTGCATGTTCAATGTGTATGATTATGAAAGTAGCTATAAAAGAATAGGTCAAAGGGATTAAACTTCATTTAAAGTATACTAAAAGTAACAATAATTTGTTTTTTAATGGTTAACTGCTATATTATCATTGTGACCATGATATTTCTACTTTACTATATGTTAAAACTAACATAATTTTCCATTTATCTACATTGCATCATATATATTTTATTAAATAGCATCATGTTTCTGAAGTGGCTTCTCATAGGACTAAGACTAAGAAACCAGAAAACTAAATTATATTTTAGAAAATATATATGATATTAAACCGGAAATAAGGTGCCATAGTAGTCGCATTAAATGATGGATGATTTTAATCGACTGAAATAAAATATAATGGTTAAATTGTAAAAAATAAAAAAATAAAAATAAATTAATAATAATGACTTTTTTTTAGAACGACAAGCATATATTAGAAAAGCTAGCCAGGGGCTAGGTGGTACAAAATGGTCCAAAAACAAATAAACAAAGCAACATAAAACAACAAGGAAAAGAAAAAAAAGGAAAATTAACTACATCTTGCAATAACACTCAAAGGTTGGGTCGCAACACCACTCGATCCATCGTAGATTTTGTCCTTTCCGATTCCGCGCATTGATCCAAAGGTGTGAATGTGCTTGTACCTCATATGCCAGTACCGATTTTGATAAGGAGTTTGAGTTCAGGGCATGAGCCTTGCTATTTCTGAATCTCCAAATTACCCATAAGAAAACCAACATTATAGCCTCTTGAACCACCTTCAGCCTTTGATGTCCTCCTAGCAAGTCTTTACAATCTAACAACTGTCTACAAGAGTTAGGAGAAAGTTCCAGTAACCGCCACCAACTGCATACCTGCAACCAAACTTCCTTTGAGATCGGGCATCCCACAAAGATGTGATCTACTGTTTATGGGGCTTCATGGCACATCGGACACAAATCTGAAGAGCTGATGCCAAGCTTACATAGATTCTCCATGCATGGAAGTCTACCTTGGCAGACTCACCAAGCTAGAATGTTTATCTTACTCAACACCAGTGGGTTCCATATCCATCTGTCATTACTATGAGGCAGGGCTAGATTATCACTGTGATTCCGTAGTGAAGAAACAGAATATTCCCCCGAAGGATCAAGTGACCATGACCATTTATATGAACCATCTACATTTAATATACTCTGGAAGTAATTTAAGAATGACATTTGTTCCTTTTCTAATGATGTTGGCAGGCCTGCAATTGAACCCCAAAAACTGCCTCTTCTTTTTGCTGCCATAGGACGAGACACTCCACCATCGGGTCCATGAATGGCTTTAATCACCAAAGCCTATATGCTTTTAGGCTGTTTTCTGAAATGCCACCACCATTTTCCCAAAAAAGCAAGATTATGTGCCTTTAAGCTGCCAACATCGAGCCCACCTCTTTCTTTAGCTGCGAGAATCTTATCCCAAGCGACCCAGGCCATTTTCCTTGATTCCATGTAGCCTCCCCAAAAAAACCTCATCTGAATTCTTTCAAGGCGTTTAATCACCTTTGTCGGGGCCTTGTATATAGAGAAGTAAAATGAGCCAAGGCTACTTAGAACAACTTTGCATAGGGTCAATCTACCCCCAAACGACAAGGTGGAGGCTTTCCATCTAGATAGTTTCGCCTGGAATTTTTCAATGATAGGTTTCCAATGGGTTACTCGTGCCATCGAAACACCAACTGGAAGACCTAAGTAGGTAAAAGGGAGATAACCAATCGAACAGTTGAAACTACGGGCCACCAACTCCAGCTCACAACTTTGGACACTAAACCCATATAGTTTACTTTTTGACATATTAATATTGAGCCTCGATGATAGTTCAAAACATCTTAGTATTCTGATCAGGTTTTTCGTGTTTTCCAATGACCATGATCCCATAAATATCACGTCATCAGCGTACTGAAGGTGAGAGATTACTGGGCCACGGTGGGGGAGCTGGATACCTTTAAATACGCTCTTTTCTTTCGCTGATTCTAATGCAACATGAAGTCCTTCAGCTTCGATGATGAACAAAAACGGGGATAATGGATCCCCCTGCCGAACACCACGCTCCATACCGAATTCTTTTGTTGTTGACCCATTAATAATGACCGAGACCCTTGCTGATGCTAAGCATCCTCGAATCCATGCTCACCATTTAGCCCCAAATTCCATTTGTTGCATGGTTGAGTCTAGGAATTCCCAGTTAAGACTATCGAAAGCCTTTTCAAAGTCCACTTTAAACATGAAAGCTTTCTTTTTATTCTTCTTTAACTAGCTAATGACTTCATTAAGGATAAGAGGCCCATCCAGGATATTTCTATTTTTAATGAAAGTTGTTTGTGTTTTGTTGACCACAAGATGTACCACCTTTTTCAACTGATCAACTAGGACCTTTGAGATTGTTTTATATAAACATCCGATTAGGCTGATAGGCCGAAAATCGTTTATCGTGATCGGGTCTTGAACCTTTGGGACGAGAGTGATAAAGGATGAGTTACATCCCTTTTCTATGAGCCTTGTAGCTTCAAACTACTTCACTGCAAGGTAGAAATCCCCACCAATCACCTCCCAATGTTTTTTTAGAAAAGCGAAAGAGAATCCATCAGGCCCAGGAGCCCTGTCCGAGCCACACGCCCAGATAGCTGATTTGATTTCTTCGAGGGAGAAAGGCTCTTCCAAGAACTCAGTCGCATAGGGGGAAGTTTCATGAATTTTGAGATGAGAAATTTAGGGCGCGATTTAATTGGCTCAGCGAATCTCTCGGCAAAATGCTTAACTACCCTCTCCTTTATGTCAACATGATCGGTTATCCAAAAACCATTTTCCTTAATACCGTTTATCCTCTGAGATCTTTTCTGCTTATTATCTAGACCGTGGAAAAATGCATTGTTCTCATCATCTTCAAGAGCCTATTTGGTACTAGACTTTTACTTTAGGTCCTCAATGCGCCCAGATTCGATTTCAATGATTTTTTGGTAAGCATTATGTCGACTTTTAAGCAATTCATTATTAACCAACCCCTTCTCAACCAAGAGGTCAATGTTATTTATTTTTATTGTAAGCTTATCTATCTCCCTTCTAGCTTTCCTAATAACTTCCGTCCTCCATGACTTAATATGCTCCTTTAAGTTCCTTAGTTTACTAGCAACCAGGGAGAATGGGGATAAATACAGTTGATGCCTTGAACTATTACTGATTGACCAACCACTCCTTAAAATACCCTAAAAATCTGGATCCTTAAGCCAAGAATTATAGAACATGAATGAAGATGGATCAAAATCAAACTGAGAGGCAGATAAGATTATAACATAATGATCTGAATGCACCCTAGGCATGGCTGTGACGTTTAGATTCGGCCAGGATTAGATGGAATTGAGAGAGACAAGAAATCTATCAAGATTGATGTGCTTGGCACCAGATGAATTCATGTATGTAAATCTACACCCCCTTCCCCCACCCCCCCATTTTAATTTCTGTAAACGTAGAGAACGTATGAACTCATTGAAATAATAGGCACTGCTTTGACAGAACACTGAGCCCAGTCTTTCTTCCGGAAGCCGAACAACATTAAAATTTCCAAATACAAACTAGAAAGATTCTGAGTCTGAGTTTACGAGGTCAACCAGTTTGTTCCACAAAGACCTTTTCCTCAGAGGCTCCTGTGGGGTATACACATTTACAAAACAACAAGATTTCCTCAATCCCAGCCACACACCTTTAATTGCAAGGAAACCTTCACCTTTAATTGATTCTGAGACTTGGAAGAGAGAGGGATCCTAAAAGGAAGCAATTCCACCGGAGAGCCCCACTGGGTCAATTATCTCACACTGAAAATTGGAAGAGCCCTAAATTTGCATGTCTAGTTTATTTTTTATCTCCTGGATTTTGTTTCCTGTAGGCCGACAAAAAAATAGTGATTTTGAATACGACAATCCCTGAGCCAGCTCCTTTTTACTTCACACCCAATTCCACGAACGTTATTTGAGAGGATATTCATGGATCAATAATAGTCACTCCACGAGATTTAATCATTTACTTAATTTGATCATAATGATTGCCTACATGGAAGCCAACTGATTCTCCAACATCGATTGTCTTGGCAACCTCCATAGATGTAGCGTTCGACTCGACCGGTTGGTTCTGAGAGACTTCAGGCTGTGACAGGTGTTGAGACTGAAACACATTCCCTTGCAAGTTTTGGGAGTCGCCGGAGTGACAGGGTGGGGGAGGCATCCGTATGGGGGAGGGGGCATTGCGTGATTGTAGAAGGATCGGAGAGGCTCTATTTAGGTCCAAAGGGAAATTAGGCTGGGGGATTTTAATAACAGGTGGAGATTGGGTCAGTCTTCTATTATGGCCCAAGGGGGTAAAGGATCCGGATGCAACATGACCTACACCCGAGGGCGAGGGCAGTGGTGATACAACTTCTTTACTATACTCCAAGGGTTTAGAAAAACGAGGAGTTTCCTTGGCCTCCGAGCTGGAGATGAAGGCGTGCGACTTTTCCACTTCCCCATCCTGTTTCTACGCTTGACATGACTTCACCGGAGATATTCCCGGAGACTATAAACTAGCTTCAGAATGGACCGAAACTTCGTTGTTGAGGCTGCCATTTTCACCAGTAGTATCTTCATACCACCATGATGTCCGTTGATAGAAGTCATTTGCAGCAAGCACCGGGCTAAGTTTGAGGGATTCAAATATATCCTCCATGACATTTATCTGATATGGTTTTCCATCCACAAAGATTTTGATGGAAGAGCTGATGATTTCGAGATGAGATGTGAGGATTCCAACCCACCCAAAGGCCAAATTTTGAGAATCTGTATTGCATTCTTCCGGGATTACCACCATCCCCCACGATATTGCAATAATGTTGAATGCTTCCTCACACCATGCATGTTGGGGCACACATTAGATGATTATGGATGCAATTCTTTCATTGAAATTACCTTCCACGTCCCAAGTAGTGACCTCTTTGAACCACGGCTACCAAGTCTCCTTCCCTTTATTTATGAACTCGACCTTTTCCATTGTATTCTCGAATTCGAGAAGCATTTTTAGGCCTCCCAAATATCTTAATTGCATTGAAGGGCATCCCTCAACCTCCTGAAAAGCTTTCACGTTCATTAGGGCTTGGAAGTTTTCTACTTCCCCCACCAAGGTGTTCTGGATGGCTTCTCTTGACTCCAGCCTGGATATCATCTTTATTACTTTCCTTGTAGGGGTCGACCCTTCATCGAATTTGCTTGAATTACCAGATCCATTGTTTGCGGTTGGCGTTGTCCCCCTAACAACATCAGCAAATAACCTATCATGTAGTCGTGTGTTCTTTACTGGTTCTGCTTGTAGTCTTCCAGTGGGTTGAAAGTTTCTTATGTGATTCACGTTCTCCAACCTTTGATATCGTGCCACATTGACTTCAATCTTATGTGATCCGATGTAAATCTCATTGAGACGTTTTTCAAAGGAGATACAATCTTGGATCCGTATAAATCTAACAAATCCGAAGTTCTTATTGAGGCGGTTCAATTTCTTTGCAATGTAAACATTGACAACGATCCCATATCTGTTAAACATCCGCCATAATGCAGCTTCATTCCAGTCTGATGGGAAGTTCTGTACATAGAAGGACATAGCTTTCCCATTAACTTCGAAATCTCTCCCGTAGTTCTTTCTCCGACGTACTTGACTCCATCCCTCTTGGTCGTCTCGTTCTTTGTTCTCTCCTGGCTCCATCCTACACTGCCCTCTATGATGTTATATTCCGTTTATCTTTATTGAAGCAACTATCTCGTATATATAATGACATTTATGTATATTATTATTGCACTATTTTATAAATAAATCTTTTAATAATAGTTTATGTAATAAAAAGTATTGAAATTTGAGAGATTGGTTTAATCAACCAATCTATTTTGGTTGTTTAAGGCCAATAACCGTGGGTCTACAAAGTCTGGTGTAGTTTGGGCCTTGGGGAATACTAGAGTCTAGAAAGTTAGGACTAATTAATTTACATATGAAATTCTGAATACGTGTACAAAAAAGTTACGAAATCGCAAGAATTGTATAAGTTAGAAAAGAATGCATGTTTTGTGTTTGTACTTAGAAATTTACAAGGAAGATCATATATGAAATTATAAAAATTACAAGAAATTGTTGACAGGAAAAAAAATCCTATCACTCATCTAGTTTGGTTCCAAAAAATAAAAAACCGACCCCGGTCTTTCCCAAAAAGAGTTAGACCGAACCCTTAAGACTTTAACAGTCCCAAAATAGACTGATGGGTTCAAATCCTATTTTCTATATCAAAATATATAAATCATCTTTAACTTCATTCGATTTCTTATACCATTTTGATATAAGAAAATAATAACATTAAATTAAATAAGTTTTACGATAAAAAGATAAAATTAAATATATAAAAACTAATAAACTGAAATATGGTATATGATTGGTGATGAAACATTATTTGTATCATTTTGACATCCTTTTGTTGTAAAAGAAATAAAGTTGGATTGGAGATGGTCTAATAAAACTTATTTTACGCAGAGCTAAACACAAGTCGAACAACCTTGAGCTACACCAACACAAAAGGAGTTGGGTATGTCTTAAAGGGTCAAGTCTTTTTGGGGCTTCATAATTTGTACTCTAATATATGTACGAGATTGTACGGAGTGCACACATGTATAAGATCGAATTAAAAACCGGTTCGACGACTAGGCGGGGGTCCAGGGGCAGCACCCCTGGGTCCAGGGTTTCTAAAGAGGCAGCGCCCCTAGCGGGGTCCAAGGGTAATTATGGTAAAACTAACGAAACTCATTAGTTTTGATAACCCTAAATCCTCATTAAATCCAGATTTTGCATGACTTGCTTCCAAAGCACCTAATGACGGCCCAATCCTAATGAAACCCTAATCTCGTTTAATATATAAACGGTTCTTTCTCTTCAGAAGAGGTTACGATTTTAAGCTCTCGTTTTCATCATACTTTCATAGAATCCTTTAGCATATTGGCTTACGATTTTCGTGTTTGATATCGTAAGTGTCAACTTGGATTAACCTAGACTGAATTTATTGCAACCCAGACATAGAGTAGAAATATTAGTTCGGAAAGTGATATCATGATTCAAGTTGGTATCCAGATCTCCACTACAAATTCTAAATTTTCCTACATCATTCATGTTTAGTCTTCAATTTTTTTTTTCTAGGACCATCGAAAGTAAATTGTGTGTTCACATCTAGATCAATCTACACTTGAATAAATCTAAAAATATGTACAAAATATATATTTAGCGAAACAAACACGATTTGAAAGCTTGATTAGTTCACAAATATTTATATATCTGGCGACGGGCACAGGGAGATTGCCGACATTAGTAGTCTGATAGACAGAAATGACAGCAAGAAACAACAGACACAAATGGCAGATGGAAATGACAAACATAAAGGAACGACAAAATTGACAGCCAAAATAACAGATATAAATGACGGACATGACAAAAATGTATAGCCCAAATGCATCACTCAAATGCGTCACTTAAATGCATCGCTCAAGTGCATGGCCTAGATGCACCACTCAAATGCACGACCCAAATGCATGATTCATTTGAATCTAACTATATATATATATATATATATATATATATATATATATATATATATATATATATTTTTTTCGTGTTGATCAAAGCGTGTTAGTTGAACATATTAGAATATCCTAAGCTAAAAGATTATCAAAGTGATAAACATATTCTCCACATAATTCACATATAATTATATCTTAATTTTAGTCCAAGGTTATTAGATAAGAAACCCTAATACCCTTCTTTGAGCTTTGATCGTTCTCTAGTCAAAAAGTGACTTTACCATCGGAGTGTCGTCTCGGAGAGATTATTTCAGGTATCACCGAAATCAAGGCTGAACAGAGGTCAAAACGAAGATCACGACACATTTTCTTATTTCAACCATCTCTAGAACCTAGGTATTCATCAATACTAAAACAAAACAAGTTTGACCAAAATATAACAATTATACATAAAGCTTAAGAATTTGAGTAAAATCCTGCTAATTTCAAGCTATTTACTCGAATTCTTATCTTTAATTCCTTCTAAAACTTATTCAAAAAAGATATAAGAACCTTTAAATTTGAAAATTTGTTATAACGGAATTGTGAAATAACGAGACATTATACAACCTATACATTTACTAAGAAGATTTAGGTAGTTTTTTTTTTTTAATTATATTTTTTATAAAGTTATTAAATCAGTTTTTATCTTTGAGAATTTTATAGAAATAGTCCCTATAAAACTTATCTAGTGCTCTATATATCCAACAAAACAATAAAAATGATATTTATATTTGAAAAAAATTATAGAACCGGTCTCTGCTTAATTATCTAGAAAAGTCCATATGTTTGAAAAAATTACAGAAATGGTTCTTGCATTATTCTTTAATGGTCCTTTTGTTTGAAAAAAAATTACAGAAAGGATCCATGTATTAAAATTATGCTTTTTAAATGGTTTCTATATTTGAGAAAATTATAGGGATAGTCTTTGCAAAACTATCTAACGGTTCTTATATTTGAAAAACAGAAAAAAATAATAATTAGAAATGGTCCCAATGTAATAGTAAAATCACAAAAATAGGCCATATGTAAGACATTTACAAAAACGGCCGTGTATAAGATAAAATTACAGAAATAGCCTTAAAGAAATGGTCCCTACAATAGCAAAATTAGAGTACTTCCTATATAATACCAAATTTACAGAACTGGTCCATATATAAGACAAACTTACATCAATAGTCCCAGTGTGATAATGAATTTATAGAAATGGTCAACGTAAGAGAACATTATGAAAAGGTGTCCAAAATATGAGATTATACCCACTAGCTGTATGTATAATTTCTTGTATATTGTATGATTTACGATGTATACCTTAATCTTTAATGGTTCTATTTTATATACTAGCGATAAACATTTGGGCCCCCAATCTGTGCGTAAAAAAACCCGACCCACGAAGCCACGAGCAGGCCCAACCCATTTTATTTATCCAGGATATCATGTCTGGAAATACTCGTGGGCTTTGACCAGATAATCCTTTAGGGCAAAAAGTTTGTGCATTTTCGGGCTCTTTTTTACTTTGTATTCTACATTCGTTTACGTTTCATACTAGATTACTAGTCAATTAAAGGAACCACCGTTAGGAAATAGGAACAGTGCATTAAAATGCATCGGCTAAAGTTATTATTTTAGAAATTACAAAATGAGGGATAGAAAAAAGTATATAATAAATTACAAATACTCATGATGCAAATTAAAAAAATATAATTGTCTTAATCCTAGTTTCCATATCGTGAATACATGGGGTTGCCAAGGTTGTGGATGATTCTTGAGTTTACGAAACACTTTGCAAGTCATCAAAATGCCGATATACGTTTGCATATATTGTTTGGCTTTCTATTTCATTTTGGAAGAGTTTTGCTTCCAATGGATCCATACCTTCTACAAGAATTGCATCGTATTGGTTCCCAGTAAGGGTGCCAATTTATGATAAGATACGATAAAAATACATGATACGAAACGAAATGGGACGAAACTAAAATTTGAATTCGTGTTCGTGTCAGCTGTAAAAAACACGATATCTGTCGTGTTGTGTTCGTGTTCAAAATTCGACACGAAATTGTTACTATTTAACAGTACTTTATCATGTTTTTTCGTGTTTGTCGTATTTTTTGTGTTTATCATGTTATATTTGATAAAGTATTCATTAAACAAACTAGTTTTTAGTATATGTTATATTTGTCGTGCCGTGTCATGTTTGTCGTTTTTTAATTCATTCGTTTTCGTGTTAGTTAAAAAAACACGACATCATGTCGGGTCGTGTTCGTGTTACAAAAAAATTATCTAGTCATGTTGTGCCAGACAGAAATACGAAACGATAGCACGATTTGCTATCCCTAACTCCCAGTTAACGAGTCATGATACCTCTTTAATTAGCATAATCGATATTAGAATAAAAATCGCCGTCAGTGAATTCCTAATTGAATTTATAATCATACCAATAAAAAAAAAATCTCTAAAGCGAAAAATTTGGTTTATATGGTTAAAACATATCATCTCACTATGGTTATAACTAAGGGTCTTCTCATTATGGTTGTAACTAAGGGTAAATACTCTACCATACCAATTTTTTTCCCCAAATTGTTTGATACATAAACTTAACAACAAAATTTGTACGAGTTATACATGATATTATATTTGGCTACCAATAAGTTTAGTTGGTACAAACTGATAATGATATATACCATAAACACATACTAATATAAATATGAAGATTTTTTTAATATAAAATTATCTACAACCATGGTATTTAGAAAGATATTGGTCGATACAAGTCACTAATATATATATATATATATATATATATATATATATATATATATATATATATATATATATATTATATATATATATGTGTGTGTGTGTGTGTGTAAACTTGAATTTAATAGTGGTTAAAGACATGAAAAAAAAGAAAGAGATTGTTGTTAAAACCACTTTTAAATTTATATTACCATAATACACTCCAATGTAAACTTATTGTCTTTAATTTAATACTAATAAATTTAATTTCTAAAGTATATGTCTTTGATTTTTATAAGATAAAATATGTTTTCGCATTAACCTACTTGTGTGTGTGTGTGTGTATATATATATATATATATATATATATATATATAT